TATATATAATAAGACAAATAGAATGATATATATATTCGTAGTTATTTATATGTAGTATTTATATATTATGTATATTGATATGTATATATACATAATATATAAATACTACATATATATAGATATACTAGATAAATAGGAGATATTTCTATACTTCTTTTATTTTCATATATCAGTAAAACATTTATTTTCACCACACCATGGGTTGACTGGTAGACAATTTCTCAAGGCATTAAGTCCGCCTTTGTATATTTGTATATTAATAAGGAATGCAATAACGAATAAATAAATAAAAATGAGACAAATTTAAATTTAATTAACTATGAATAATAGCTAATTCTTGAAAGTCGGTTCGCAAACATCCCTTTCCTATATAGAGTAGCGATCCCTCCCCCTTTACATATATTTAACATTATTATTCTAAATTAATCATCTTATATTTTTATTATTTAATACTTCCCCATGTAAAATATTTGTAATAATTTTGCTTCCGGTCTAATTATTTAACTATGGCAATAAGCGTTCAGTAGTGGATTTTTGATAAAATTTGGGGATTTCTTTGTTCAGTAGGGCAATTTTGATATAATTCGTAAGTAAAAACAGGAAAAGATAAACATACACTAAAATTATACCTATATACGCAAGCTTACAACAAATTCTTTTCAAAACTAAAATAAATTCGATTATTATGGAGGCGAGCTACATATTGAGCCATTATACACGCTTCCCGCAGCTCTACCCGCATGGGAAATGAAGCGCTTTTACGTTTATTTTCCTGTATTTACTTTTAGTTTCCTATATTTACTATAATTAAAAGTTTAAATCGAGGACACGCTAGATATATATATTCTATATTCAAACAGAGAAAGCTACAAATGCGTTATAAACTCTGAGGATTTAGATGGAATGTACGCAGGCTGGTTTTATACCCTTCAAACAGGAATAGGTAAAGGAGTTGTGCCTAACCAGAGAGACTTATAGGCAGAATCAGTAACAAACATCTGAAGATCTTAAATAACTAAAACACATATAATTGAATTGTATTACATTGTTTAGCACAATATAGATAAATGCAAATATTTTTTTTATTTGTACTTGAAATTATTGCCTCTTGATAGAGTTCCGTAATTTGAACTGGGATGAGTGACATTTTCCAACAACCATACATTGTATTTCATATTTTTATGATTATGAAACATCAACAATTCTAGTTATTCTCAATAAAGTTTCTTTTTTTCAACTGAATGTCAATAAGGTAAGGGTATGACGGGGCTGACATATCTGTTCGGAATAAAATCCCTTAAATAAATAAAATGGCATTAGGCACTTGTCCCACCGCCAAGGATGAATGAGAAGTGAGTAGAGCCAGAAACTAGATAGAAAAGAAGAAGAAAAGTTGGCGAGCAGCGAGTAGTGACTGTGTAGTTACAATGGTTTTGTCGCTGGGCTTTATGCAAGTGTACGCGTTGGTCTAAATTCATACTAAATGCGTGAACTCAGATTCGCACTGTAGAGTAAAATGACCGCTGGTTGGTCTGTCGGCGTGGATTCTGACCGCTAAGCGAGCATTGCTGAGCGAATTTTACCTTTGACAGCTGTTGTTGCTGCGAGAAACCAGTGCAGAGAGAGTTCTCGCCGGCAGTGTAAACAGCCAGCGATCAACCATTATGACGACACATCGAAAAAATGGCTCCAGGCTATCGCCGTACTGATCCGAGTGAATACATAATTTCTATAAAAACTTGAAAAAACGCCGTCATAAGGGCTAAACTTGCATAGTGCCCGCGACGAATAAAACCGCTTAAAAATCGTCAGAATCTTAAAATATTTTATAAAAATTGTTGATTTAAGTAATCAAAATAATGAGCAAGACAATTATTAATATTGATTTTATGAATATATTTGAGTGATTTCCAAGCATATAGATTAAGTGATTTCGTTGTAACTTCAACTATAGTGGTTTTTTAGAGGTGTTTTCGCAAATAATTATGATCGAGTCAAAATTATACAATCGTGTTTTTGAATATAAAATAAAATAAATAAATACCATTTTATTGCCACTTTTAAAAACATGTTTACATATAAACTAATTATTTAATCTTAATTTAATTTAGGCAAACGGAGTGACTCAGCTTTTGCTTACATGGAACTATAGTCCGTTCGCGTTAAGAAAATAGTGAGTCATCGTTGTCCGCCAGCCAATTAAAATGCAAGAAATTTGAAAGTCGAGTTCACATTGACCAGTTGAAGTCAGGCCTTCGAAAAAAACGGTTGTGTATTTCGCGTGTTACTCGTTCAACATTAAATTTTGAAAATGAATACCTCACCTATTCGAAAGAATAAAAGTGGATCAATAATCCATAGCGGAGAGATAATTGAATTGGTTTGGGCCCAAACAAAAAATTATGTTGGTGCCAATAACTCCACGTTCAAAACGAGGACATAAAAAATATTAGATGACGCGATAGCATTAATAGACACTAATCGTTGGAAGAAGTGCTGCGACCACGTGATACGCGAAGAAAATACCATGTGGAATTTGGATGACATCATGGAACTTGCAGAACAAAATTCTTTCATAATTAATGTAACTGGAGAATCTAGTGATACTGATTAATGATTTAAGTAATTTTAAGAAAATGGGTTTCCATTAAACTTAATTAAATGTTTGAAAAAAAAGTTTTTTACTCCACTGTAAATACACCTTTACCCTGTAGTTGCACTGATGACTCACTATTTTCTTAACGCGAACGGACTATAGATCCCATGAAGTGCTGGTTATCAGGCACTAAAATTCATGTCTTTATCTTGAATTTGGTTGAACAATCAAATTCAAGATAAAGACAGGAATTTTACCTATAACAAAATTCCACTTACGTTAGTGGTTTCATGGTCCTATATTATTCGATGAAAGGAGGTGTATTTTTTGCGGTGTCGCCTTATTATATGTATCTCTTTTATACACACAGGATCTGTATATGTTGTTCGTTTCTTGGGCGAGAAAATAGTCGATAGTTAATCGCTCCCTCGTCGGCTGTAGGACTAGTGCTTTAGCCGGTAAAAGTGTGTACTACTGGACATGGACTCTCCTGTTGTAGAAAGGTTTTGCTTTAATTTTCACGTCTGGCAGGCGGATTGATGATCGAAGTGCCAGACATCTCGTACCTTTGACGTTGCTGAATTTCGGCGCTTTGAGTATTTTGCAACTGGCGTAAACAAGATGATACCGCCTATCGGAAGCCCGAAGATTTTTCTAGCACATCCCATATTACGATACCCACTAGACGCAAAGGGTGCTTTGGGTATACAGAAACAGAAATGTTTTATTCAATATGGGTTATAAATAATACTTATTGAAAGTCATTTTATTTTCATTGCCAATGATTCGCAAAAAAAAAACTTCTGTCCTGGGAAGTGTCCAGAAAGAAACCCAGCGCGACTATATTTTTTAAATAAGAGCTTACAATCATGTACGTTGCGATTAACAACACAAAATAAATTAGAAATAGCTTGATAGCGATCACCCTTCCCAGGGGTTATTATCATCCATCAATTCCTTAATATTATAATAACCCTTTTTAAGTTTTTGAACTTTGTATCGTAATTATATATACTATATACTATGCGTATACTATATATACTATGCGTATATTTACCATACAATAAAATATGTGATCGAATCCAGCGCTGGATTGATTACTGGTAAAATGTAAACCGGCACTGGTATGCACTGAATCCATTTAGCATTGCAGTCTAGTAACTGGATTGGCGGTCTACTTTTGAATCCAGTGTGACCAATCCAGAGCAACTGGAATAATTTAGACGGCCAATCCGGTGGCATTTCAGTGCTGTCACTGTAGTTTTTACACTTCAACGCCTTCTAAATAACTGGAATAATGTAGACGTTACAGATCCAGTCCAGCACTGGACTGGATTCGCGCTGGATCACTGAACTGGAATAATGTAAACCGGGCATAATATAAAACAGGCATGAAATTTAAAGTCTTCGGTAAAGATTTTATAATTTAAAACGATTAATTTATGATTCGAAATATTGAAATTACATTTTTCTAATATTTCGAATAGAATAGAAAAATTGTGGTTTTCGAACGTTCTTTTCGTACTTCTACAAGGTAATATGAACCTGAAATCCTGTAATTAAATATTTCATGGCAAAATATTTCAAATGTAATATAACTTCGAAGAACAGATAGGGAAAGCTTTTAGAACAAACATTTGTAACAAAATGCATTAATGTGGCCTATATGCGATTATTTCAGATAATTTCTTATTATTTTTGTTGTTTTACTTTTCCATGTTTGTTTTCTCTTTTATACAAACGAAGGAAACGAAAACATATTACTACCTACTCGATTATAGAAGGCGAGGTAAATGCGTACATCGTGGAGACCTCATAATACTTGAATTCGATGCAAATTTTCTTTGTAAAATATAGAAATTTCTCTAAACTAAAGAAAATATTTTTTTGTTTGCCACGCTAATACGCAGAAATAATCCCGGGTATCAAAATGTTTGATACAGAATATATCTCATCCTAACAACAACAAGTATCTTGAAACGAAGCGTGATTGGTGTACGTGATTTCTCTTATTTAAGACAACAAAAGGCGTTTACAAAATAATGTCTATATGAGTTTTAAAATGTGTTAATTGATGTGTCTTCATATAAATAATTATATGAATAGCCAATAAATGATTAACGCATGAAACACTTTAGCAAAGTATAACGTTTTTATCTTCCCTTGAGTGTAGTAAGAGGTGATAGATGGAAGCAAACCAGGGGATGAGCAGCAGCGTGTTCTTATTTTTTTATATAAAAAGGAGCAAACGTGCATGCGGCTCACAGGATGGTGACTACTGCCGCCCATGAACAACGGCAACACGAGGGGAATTGCAAGTGCGTTGCCGGCCTTAGTAACAACTAACCTCAATTCCACCGCTGCTCTGCTCCTAATAACAACTAACCTCAATTCCACCGCTGCTATGCTCCTAATAACAACTAACCTCAATTCCACCGCTGCTCTGCTCCTAATAACAACTAAACTCAATTCCACCGCTGCTCTGCTCCTAATAACAACTAATCTCAATTCCACCGCTGCTCTGCTCCTAATAACAACTAACCTCAATTCCACCGCTGCTCTGCTCCTAATAACAACTAACCTCAATTCCACCGCTGCTATGCTCCTAATAACAACTAACCTCAATTCCACCGCTGCTCTGCTCCTAATAACAACTAAACTCAATTCTACCGCTGCTCTGCTCCTAATAACAACTAACCCCAATTCCACCGCTGCTATGCTCCTAATAACAACCAACCTCAATTCCACCGCTGCTATGCTCCTAACAACAACTAACCTCAATTCCACCGCTGCTCTGCTCCTAATAACAACTAAACTCAATTCCACCGCTGCTCTGCTCCTAATAACAACTAATCTCAATTCCACCGCTGCTATGCTCCTAATAACAACTAACCTCAATTCCACCGCTGCTATGCTCCTAATAACAACTAACCTCAATTCCACCGCTGCTCTGCTCCTAATAACAACTAATCTCAATTCCACCGCTGCCTGCTCCTAATAACAACCAATCTCAATTCCACCGCTGCCTGCTCCTAATAACAACTAACCTCAATTCCACCACTGCTCTGCTCCTAATAAAAACTAACCTCAATTCCACCCGCATACCAAGCGTGGCAACAATAGCAAATGTCTCTCATACGAGGCAAGGTGTGGGAGAGGCCAATGTTCAGCAGAATTTTGATTGGTTGTAAGGATAATAGAATTAAGGATAACAATTGAACATACAATACACGTCATGGTAAAGGAATGCCGTGGACTATAGGCACCTACAATTATCCTTGATAATAAATCAAAATGTAGATGCGTGATCGCACAAGAAGTGCCAGTAAAAAAGGTTTCTGGTCCTCGTCACTCATCCTAACACTTTTGGTAATCTGTCAGAGTGTGATTCTTCCTTGACCCATTCGTGAAGTAATAAATACAGTTTTAAATGGGGGTCTATCGGATGAAAAATAGAATTTGATAGAAATGTAAATTACTGTGATATAACTGAAGTGTTCTCGAGATCTAAGGTTCGCGAATATCAGGCTCAGAAGTGTGTTGCGTGAGCCCCCACTAGATGGAGTGACGACCTGATAAGACATGCAGTAAGTCGATGGATGCGGATGGCTCAGGACCGTGCTTTGTTGCATTTCTTGGGGAAGACCTCTGTTCTGCAGTGGACTTGTGAAGAACTATACTGATGACGACGACGATGATGATGATGATTGAAATGCGTCCTAACACTTGATTTAAAGGAAGAGCTTATGCAGGACTGCTGGTAGACGTTTAAAGAAAGCGTCAAAAAAGAGTTTTTCTTCTCAACTTGTAAAAGCAGCCTATTTTAGTTTTAATAAGTAGCTCCGGCTGTGATTCGGATCTTAAAGCGACAGCTGACTAAATTCTTCACAAAAAACTCGAAAAATTTCTTGTTTAGATGTGGTGATGTAAACAAACCAACGTCATTGTTAGCAATTGAGTTCCGTCCCTGACTATGTCGCAGTTCCTATCTGACTTTTACCAATATAATCATAAATTCTTTCGTTCTTACTTTTTCAATTGAGATGTTTATACAATTTTTTAGTTGTTATCCTATATTTTGGTTATTTATTATAACATCATCTATTTTATTTCTCTCTGTTTACTAAATGACTGTAGAAAGAGATAGGTATACAGATAATTGTGAATACTCTTACGTTTATTAATCTTAATCTAAATATTTACATATGAATTTGCATACAGCCCAATTATTGTAATAGATTGTTGAATATCCGGTAAAATTTAAATGGTATTATTATTTATTTTTAAGACTTATAAATATCTTATAAAAGTGACAGCGATACTTTAACTCATCGTCATTATTAATGACAATGACACATTACGCATTCGCAGCAAGGATAAAGCGCTGAATTCAAATAATTAATTATACCTAAATAGGCCAAACGCTAAATGTAAATTTCAGAGTACGTGAACAACCTGAGCCTGCCACCACTTAAGTTGTTAATAGCAATTTTAAGTGCTGGTTTACCACGTATTCAGCTGTTAAGGAAAACTTACTGAAAACAATAAATTTAGAGGACTATAATTTTTACTTGTAATCGTCACTTGCCCTACCGCCCATTCGTGGGAATTATATAGGCAGTAACATTGTTGTATTTTTACGTAATGTGTGTTTTATTCTAGTCTTTGTCCCACATCCTGTCACATTATATAATTACAAATTAGACTAAATTATAAAACGTGAGTGAAAAGTATATTTATAAAAGACAATTATTTGCTAAGTATGAGGCGCCGCTTTAACTGTCCTCAGGGGGAAGCTACGCCAATGACGTCATCGCAGAAAGACACGCATGTAGTACACATAACAAAATATATTTTTTTTTATAGATAGACGTAGTTTTAATATTTTTTTTAATAACTGTTGAAATTTAACTCTTAAAATAAGTTCTACACGATTTTTACGTGGTTGAGCAACGCTGCAGATATACTGTACTAATCGTTTGGCGCGATCAGGGTTGGACCATTACAGAATACCAATGTAAAGTATCGTGATTGTAGAGATCCAGAGACCCTTTTTACTTAAAACATGTCATGTTAAAACGTCTGTATTTTGATTTTAATAGTGGAATATAGAATATATATAATATAGAATATAGATATCTATGGGTACTTACCGTACATAAAAATATTTACATAAAATCTACATAAATATGTACATAACAACCAAAACGGACGCGTTATTCAGTAGCAATAATTAGGGTTTATATTTACGCTTTTAGACGATACATGTGCCTGTCCCCAGTCTGAGTATTTTATGCCTGCCATAAACAATGTGGTGCACTATCTTTAGGCAGCTATGAGAGCTTTCTTGAACACCTGCGAGACGAAATGGGGTGAAGAATTCACTTACGCGACCACACAACAGAGTCAATTGATTACACAAAATTTTATAGAACAATTAAATATATCGAGCTGCCGAATGAGATTTGCAAATAATAAACGTTTAGCTTATTGTAAATTTCGTGGAGTAAGTGAACATTTATATGGTGATTAATAGAATTAGGTCTTACATTGTGAAAAGCTACTACATTAAAGATGTTAAACAATTAATTTGCTAAGTAAACCATGGTGAAACACTAAAATGGTCAGCCACCGCAGAGTCTACTTCACCTGAGGATGCCTCGTGTAAGGGTGAAACACGTGTCGTATTAGCGACGGTGGTGTCTTTCCTAATGTGGTGGTGTTGAGAGTAGTGGCGCTGGGATTAGTGTTGACGGGGATAGTGCACGCAATTGAGAGAGGACAGGAGGTGCTCTTCAAACTAGGTTTCAGGTGGTAGAGCCACGCTGTAGCTATATTATGGTTGTAGCACGAATGGGTCGGCTCGACCGGGGCAGGACCATGCTCTCACAGAATACCAGCATAAAATAGCAGCATAATGCTATATATAGTGACTATAGAGAACCGGATACCTTTCTTACTGAAATCGAGGTATTCTATCTTAGTCCTCAGCGGTGACAACGCATTTGCATTTTGATTCTTAATTGAGGATAAATGTGGATATCTATGGGCCACAAAAAATTTATGAATTCTAATAGCTGTTTTTGACTATCCTCTGATTTACTTTAAATGAGAGCTTGCTATGAAAAATTTAATATTAATAAATAATTTAGCTACAAACAGCTATGTGCTACACCTCGTTTTAATCGTCATTAAATAGGCAAGTTATTTTTTAATACACGCTCGTTTTATGGTGGTACATATTTTTACAGTAGGGTTTTGAAGTTACAAATAATTTTTCGTGAGACTCAAAAGATATTGGAAAAAGTACCAATACTCATAAATCATGGTACCTACTATCATAAAAGCACTTTGTTGTGATGATACGTTTCTTAGAACAATTGAACACCATTTATTATTTTAAAATAGGTACCCATTTTACTCCAAGTGGCTATTTACAAATTTCAGTATATTCTCCAAAAACACTCAAATAGTCATAACTTTTGAGGAGATCAAGTGAGAGCTCTTCCATAGATATAATTATAGCTCTTCCACAAATAACCCCAACTATAGGCCTGTTTTGTTACATCCACGATTTTTTACCCATTTTATATATGCGTCAATATTCCATCATAATATTTTCATTATACGTTTATTACATTGAGAGAGTTTATGTAGTGATATGAGTTATACATTTAATGTTGAAAAAATGCTCGATTCCTGTGGAATAGATCTGCGAAGATGGCTGGATGAATTTGACAAAATTTGGTATAGAGGTTTCCTAGGTCCTGAAGTAACATAAAAATACTTTCATCACGGAAATACGCACAGATCCTGTGGGAATTATTTTTTTTATAGGATAGGATGACAAACGAGCACACAGTCCACCTGATGGTAAGTGGTTGCTGTGGCCCATAGACATCTACATCTATCCTCGATTACGAATCAAAATGCAGATACGTTGTCATCCGTGAGGACTTAGGTGGAATGCCTCGTTTCCAGTAAAAAGGGTCTCCGGTTCTCTACACTTACCATACGAAACTCAGCAGCATTAAGCTACTATATGACGCTGGTATTCTGTGAGAGCGTGGTCCTTCCACGGTCGAGCCGACCCATTCGTGCTACAACTATACTACTAATATAACTGCAGCATGGCTCTACCACGTGTACTATGTATGTATAATTTAGCTGAATTTAGTGATTAAAACTACTTTTACTTTTACGGATTTTAGTTTAACATCACACAGACATTGATTGAGTGTAGCGGAGTAGTAGCGGTATAAGAGAAACCACTATGCCACATAATTTCTTTGGCAAGTTATTTGGTTGTTATATAGCTTTACTGGTTTTTACTTACCACACACAATTTTTATGTTCATGTTTTTTAAACCTAAAGCTATATAAATATATATAAATTTCATTCATCAAAAGTTACCTTTTATTAAAGCGGAAATTCAATATCCCATCTTGGCTCACGAATGTCTTAAAAGTAGATAAACGGCATTGACAGGGACATCTCCTAATAAGAAAATTTCGGGAAAATTCTCTCTAATGTCGTTATAATCTTTCAAATATATCCTATAGGATAGGCAGTGATGAGGATAAAAACTGACCTGTAGTTTTTTCCGTTCACTCCTTTAAAATCTATTTATAAAATTTTACGACGGTTTCAAAAAAGGTTTTAACTATTTTTTATATGTATGTTGCGCAATATCTTCATCAAATGTAATCCAATTTTAATGATTCTTTGTTATTTAATATTTTTATTTAATAAAACATTAGAGGTGATCCCATATAATTATTAAATAATAAATGCCAGTACTCCCAGCATTTGGTATTTAGGTTTGGCAATTTAAATGGATATTCTACCATTAATCGATTATCAGTGTGAGTGCCAGTACAGGTATGGTTGTTGAATTTTTGAAAACAACTTGTTACATTCCTTCTATTCAGTAATATAATACAATAATAATAACGTTTATTGGGACATTCACTGTAAAATTTACTACTTTGAATTAT